AAAGACATCTTTTTCTAAGTGGTAGAAAAATGCTCTGAGGCCAGTTTTGTGTGTGTTTTGTTTTGTTTTGTGTTGGCTGTTTTGCTTGTTTTTAAATGCACTCTTTTGTTTGTTGCTGCCTTAGCTGTTGCCATGTTATATTTTATCAGTTTAATGTTTTGATTTTGTGCTTGAGCCCCAAGGCAATGTGACGAAGGGTATGATTTGGAAAATCAAGGAAACAGAGAAATTGCCCACAGAAGAGGCAGCCTCCCGGGAGCCAAGGATAAACCATAAACGCCTAAAATGAATTTCATTAGGAACAAAACAAACAACCTGTTGCCAGACCAAAGGTATTAGATCATCCTGGTTTGGCTTGGCTTTTGTTTTTTAATTTAATACCAATTCTCCATTTCTTCCAAGGTCAGCCAAGGACGGAAGACCCAGTTCCTTCTCCACTGTCTTCTAGAAGACTTCCACATTTCTGCTTCCAGGCCTGTACTCATGGTGTGTGCCCTGCCTGCTCTGCTCTCCTCTCTTCTTCAGGAGACAGGCTGTAACCACCCTTGCACTGGCCAGTATTTATGGACCAGGGCTGGAAATAATGCAGGCAACCAGAGGACCACCAGTGTGCCTTCAGGGAATTTACATTCTACTAAGGCAGGCATTCTCAACTGGGGCCATAATGCCCCAAGGGGATGAAAATTGGTTCTTGGAGGGGTAAAAACACTTTTATCTTCCTAATGATTTGCAGGCTTATCAGCCTGTTCACTGTCTCAGCGAGTAGCCCTACCAGCCACCCAGTCAGTAACCAGGGCATGGTCATCAATTCGAGTTGCCAACCCTGAGCTCAGGCTCCTGGTTACTGACCTTGTGGCTGCCCAGTCCGTGAAGGCTTCCACTCTCTCCCTGAAAATGGACCCCATCTGTCTTCACTTTCCACCCTGCCCAGCCTAGTTCCCAGGGCCGAAAGATTGGGCATCTCTTTTGCCAACACTTTAGAACCCTCTGCCCTTTTCCCCACCCATCTGGCAAAGCCCTGGGCCTGGATAAACCCCACCAAGTACTTTCCCCTGTTTGCACGTGGGTAGGTGCAAACCCATGGTGGGGGAAATCACCCAGCCGACAGGACAGGACACACTGGGTTGTCAGCACTGTCGGACATTTGGGGACTTTGTGGGCAAGTTTGCTCCTCAACTGTCTGAATGCACACTCTCCTTCCTTCAAACTCCTCACCACCTCTTCCTCACTCTCAGCAGAAGACCTTGCCTCCCACTTTGCAGAAAAAATAGAAGCTCAAGATGAAATCTCCCTTAACATCCCACTACAAACCTACATCTACATCTGTACCCATCCTCTCTTTGTTTCTTCTTTTGGTTCTAGAGAAGTCATCCCTCCTCCTTTCCAAGACCAACCTCTCCACCTACATGCCTGATTCCATCCCCTTGCACATGCTCGTGAACATCCCTAGCTGATTATCTCCCCTCTTTCCCACACCCTTAATTAATCTCTCCCCTTGATCTGCCATCAGCCTGTAAACAAACTCAGGTCTCTTCCACCTTCTAACACACCTCCCCCCGTACCCCCACATATGCTTTGACCCCATCACAGCATCTCTCTCCTCCCCTTCACACAAATACTTCTCAAAAGACCCACTGCCTCCTTCACCCCTCCTTCACTCATCAGACCCGCTGCCATCTGACCTTCTCATCACTCTGCAGAAACAGTGCTCCCTAAAGCCACCAGCATCTGCCCGTGTCTGTCATTAACCAAAGCCGCTGCTTCCATCCACATCCTTCTGACCTCTCAGAGCATTCCCCATTGACCCCTCCCACTTTCCTGAAACTCTCAGCTTCCTTCCCTTGGCTGCCTTCCCTACGGCCCACCCTCCAGGGTTTTCTCCCACCTCTCAGGCCCTCCTTCTCGGCCTCTGCAGGTATATCCTCGTTTGCACAGCCCCTAACCTGTGGTGTGTCTCACAGCTCCATCCTGGGGTGCCTTCTCTTTGGACAGTCCAGCCCTCATCCACAGCCTCGTGATCATTTGTCTCCTGACAACTTCCCATCCTCATGTGCCTCCAAACCCAGGCCTCCAAGCGCCTACTCAACATCTACACTCAGTGTCCCAAAGGCCTTTCAAGCTCAACACATCTAAAGTGGAAGCTGCACTTTTCACGTCCCCCTCCACACCCTCCCATCCTCGCTCACCCAACACCGCCTCCCAGTGGTCTCCAGTTTTCCCCATCTCAGTGAAAACTACTGCCTGCCTGTTTGCAGGGAAACCTCAGAGTCCATCCTGACACTATCTCTCCCTTACCTTCCATTCCCACACATCTCTGTGACGATTTTACTTCCCGATAACTGGAACCTTCCACTGCTCTCCAACTGCACTGCCACCAGCACCACCTCTGTGATATTCTCCCTGGATGCCTGCCCGTACTCCTAACCCTAACTTATCCTGCAGCTACTCATACACACACTACCCCACTCTCCACTAGGCATTCACACGGGTCACATTAAAATGCAAATGTCATCCTGTCCTTCTTGGGCCTACACTGTCAGTGGTTTCCTGTCACTCGGAGGATGAAAAAGAAAGATCCTTTGCCCACCTTCCGCATTCCCCAATCCCCCTGCTCTCCCTCTGGCCCTGTTACACAGGCCTTTTCTCACCTCTTCTCTAGCTGTAACTTCTGCCTCAGGCCCTTTGCACAGGTTCTTTCTTCTGCCTAGGATTCTCCCCGTACCCCATCCTCCCCTGCATATAGTTCAGATCTCCTCACAAAGATCATTTCCTTAGGGAATCCTTCCCCAAGAAGAGATAGGTCCCTCCATCCTGTCAAATGCTTTCACAGTAATGGCTAACGTACACACAAGCGCAGTACTATTCTTTGGAACTCTTCTGTGCATTTCTGCTTAGAACTCATTTACTCCTCATGGCAACCCTATGAGGTAGAAATTATAATTATCTCTGTTTTATGGGTGAAGAAACTGAGGGACCAAGAAGTTATGTAACTTACCCAAGGTCACCTAGTTAATAAGAGGCAAAGCGGGAATTTGAACGCAGAGCAGCATGACTCCAGGGTAGCTTTTTTTTTTTTTTTTTTTTTTTTTTTTTTTTTTTTTTTTTTTTTTTTTTTTTTTTTTTTTTTTTTTTTTTTTTTTTTTTTTTTTTTTTTTTTTTTGGCTGCGTTGAATCTTTGCTGCTGCATGCCGGCTTTCTCTAGTTGTGGCGGGCAGGGGCTACTCTCCATTGCGGTGCGCGGGCTCCTCATTGCAGTGGCTTCTCTTGTAGTGGAGCACGGGCTCTAGGCGCTCGGGCTTCAGTAGTTGTGGCTCACAGGCTCAGTAGTTGTGGCTCACGGGCTTAGTTGCTCTGCGGCATGTGGGATCTCCCCGGATCAGGGCTCGAACCCATGTCCCCTGCATTGGCAGACGAATTCTTAACCAGTGCGCCACCAGGGAAGTCTCCAAGTCTTGCGTAAGAAAACACTATCCTTTTCCTTTCTGCACTTACTACTGTTTGTAACAATGTATTTGTATGACTATTTGTTTAGCTTGTGTCTCCCCCATTAGACTATAAGCTCTATTGGGGTAGAGACAGTTTTATCCCCAATAGAGGTACTCAATAAATATTTGCTAAATAGCTGAATGTAAATTAGTCTCCTCTCTCACCACATTCCATCAGTCACCTGGTCCTGTCCCTGTTTCTTCCTAGAGCAGCAGTTCCTAAGCCTAGGAGGTTCAGGTATGTGCTTAACCATGTCCTAAAACTGGATGGAAAACGTTATGTGTCTGTACACTTCAAATTTTTCTACAGCAAAGGTTAGGTTCGTGCTGTCTTCAGTTTCTCGATGGCTCCATGAAGTTAAGAACAGCTGATTCAAATATTCCCCAGCCTAGGTCACCCTCTCCCTGCCAACCTCCCCTCCACAACTACAACACCCTCACGTCCAGTTTTGTTCTCCATAAATCTATCTTCCATGCTTTGGTCATAGCAATCTTTTAAAAACATAAACCCAGGTCAACCTCCTGCGTAAAATCAGTCAGAGGCTATCTATTGCCCTTGGAGCAAAGGTGCAAACTGTGGCCGGGGGGAGGGGGTGCTGTAGGCCCTGGTAACTTCTCCATCCTTTTGTGTCCTCACTCGTTCCCTCAACCCTCCAACTCTACAGCCCAGCAGCACAGACTTGGCTTTATATCTGGGTTTCCCAGCCTGTACCAGGGTGGTTTCTCCTGTCTATACTCATGCAGTGCCCTCTGCGTGGGATGCCATCCCTCTCCTCTGCACCTAGAAATCCCTACTCCATCTTTAAGCTTAAGCTTAGATATCTCCTTGGGGTCAGGGCCCCCTCCTTCTTTCTCCCACAGGCTGTATCTGTCCCGGACAATGCACAGAAGACATTGAACCATAGTGGCTTGGTTACCGACTGTCTCTCTCCTCCCTGTGAGCTTTGAGGGCGGCTGCCATATCTTATTCATCTTTTTATCCCCCAGTCCTAGCCTAGCGCTAGCCCAAGGTATGGTGCTCAATAAGTATTTGTTCAGTGAATGAATGAACAATGACAAATAGTACTTGGTTTATGGGTTTTAAAACACCTGTGAAATGAATAAATGAGTGGGTAACTGCAAGTTCGAGAGAGAGCTGGAGATTAGGATGTTCAGAGATGAGTAAAACCTGATCGCAGCTGTCAGACAGCTAAGTGGAAGACAAATCTCAAGGAACGAGTCCGAAGGATTTAAGAGGAAGTCATTCGAATCATGGCCGGCCCAGGGGGCGTATCCGGGTCTGACCACGCCCTCCCAGCCAATGGGAGGTCTCGTTGTCCTCCCTGCCTCCGCCCCTTACACCCTTCGGAGAGGGGCCGGCCACTCCCGGAGATAAGACTACATGTTCCGACGTGCCGCGCGGCGGGTGGAGGAGGAGCCGGAAGTGGGGGGCGCGAGGTCTAAGGGCAAGAGGGAAGTGCCGGGCGGGGACTGAGGGGGGCGTGCAGGTAAGCCGACAAGCCAGGGATTGCGGGCATGGCCGAGGCCAGGAAGCGGCGGGAGCTGCTTCCCCTGATCTACCAGCATCTGCTGCAGGCGGGCTTTGTGCGCGCGGCGCGGGAAGTGAAGGAGCAGAGCGGCCAGGTAAGCGTGCCCGGGCCGTGTGCGAGGGCCGCGTGCAAGATCTGAAGAGAGGAGGCCCGCGCCACCTCCCCTGGCGGCCTCGAGGGCGCCCAGAGCCGGATTCCCGCGGTGCTCCGGGACGCGGCCTGGGGTGCCGAAAGAGGCTCAGCCTCTGCTCCCCACCCCTGCGGCTCCCAGTTCTTATGGGCCTCAGTTTCCCTGTCTGTGCAGTGGGCGGGCCGGGACGTGAGATATGACGCTCAGGGCTTTATAATTCCCGCGCCCCTTACCTCCACCCCCTTCCTGGGAGCGGCAGTTTAAAGTTTCCGAAGTCTCGGGCCACGTGGCTCGGCGCGGCTCCCTGGGGCGAGAAGGTTGCTGCGAGTCTGAGAGGTGGATTGCGACCAGCTCTGGTGGGGCGAAAGAGCGCCAAGAGAGGGGGTCTGAAGCCCCTTAATTGAGCTGGAGCTCAAGCCCTTAGCAGCCCTTCTGTACTGAGTCGGATAGCTTTGGGATTCGAACTCGTGGTGCAGTCATTTCACTTCATCCGTTCTTTGAGCAGCTGTTAATCTGGCGGTCAGAGTGCTGGTGACAGAATAGTGAGCACGGTCCCTCAATTCACTGTTTAGAGTTTACAGTCTGAATTTGGTAGGGGAGATAGACATAAATCAAAGAACCATAAAAGCACCTGTACACTTAACACTGTATTAAGTGCCAAGAACGAGAGGCATAGAGTGCTAAGACAAGAATGGCAGCTTGCCCTTGTCAGGGATATCCAGGGTTGCTTTCCTGAGGAAGTGGATGTTGCTTTGAGATCTGAGAGAAGGGAGGTGGATATTCCAAGCAGAGGTGCAAATTGTTGCATATGTACTGCCCCAGAAAGTTGACTGAAGTGTGGAGTACAAGGGTGATAGAGGTCTCTGGGGAGACAGGCAGGGAGTTGGCTTACTTTGGTTTTCATCTGAAGAGCAGTGGTAAGCCACAGGGAAGTTTTAAGCTGGTATGGTGGCTACTGACTTGGTTAATCAGTACCCCTTGGCTGTGGTGGAGGCTGTGGTCATGATGCTTGCTCTCAGGACCTCCTGGAGAAACTAAAGGATAATGGGCCTTACGACATTACCTGTGCTTTTTCCAGTTTTCTTTGGACCTCGGTAGCCCTTCTTACTTACTCCAGTTAACATGACTTAACAGCTACAGGGGGTGAAGGAGAATACCCATCTGCTTTGGGGCATTTACCTAAGCAAAAGTATCCTGCCCTCATGGACCACACATTCCAGCAGGAGCCGAAAGATGACTGATTTTTTTTTTTTTAAGTTAATGATACAGTGTGTGGGGTGATGGCAGGTGCTAGCTGTAAAAATAAGGCAGGTGTGGGGGGATAAGGAATGTCAGAGTTAAATTATCTATATAGGGTGGTCAGGAAACCCCAATGAGAAGGTGTCATTCGGGCAAGGACCTGAAGGAAGTGAGGGAGTGAGCCGTAGAGTTGGCAGGAGAGGGCATTCCAGACAGAAAGAATTGCAAGCCCCCATGCGGGCGGGGTGCCCTGACAGATTTGAGGGACAGTGAGGAGGCCAGTGTGCCAGGGGCCCCGAGGAGAGTGAAACTGACACTTTCAATTACTGTCAGTTACAGTCTCAATGTTACTGGCTCCTGTGCTGGGCACTGACTAGATGGTCTCGATCAGGCCTGACGGCAGCATCTTAGGTGGGTACTGCTGTTATCCCCATGTTAGAAAGAAAGAACCAGAAGTTTGAAGAGGTGAAGAGAGTAGCCCATCCAGTTAACACAGGCGCTCTGCCTGAGTCCAGGTGCACCCTCTTGACCACTCTGCCTAAATCCCCGGCACTGCCCTCGCCCCACATTACTCACTCAACCTCCTTGGGGCACTTGACACCCCAGGTTCTTGATATTTGCAGAGAGAATAGGCTTCTGATCTTGGCTCCAAAGGCCTCTGCTTCTACCAAAGGACTGGCGCCATTTGGTTCCAGTCTCTTCCCAGCGGGTGAGCTGACAGCGCGGTGTCTGGGCTGTGGTTCGTACTGTCCTGGGGAGATTGACCAGCCTAGCTTTTGAAAGCCTTCTGAAAGGTCAGGGGTGGAAAAAGCCCTGTCTCGTGGCACCTAAGCCTGGAGAGTGCCAGGGAGGCTGGGGACTGGATAAATGCTAGCCTGGAACATTCCAACTCTAATCTTCAAAGGTACTCCTCACCAACATGTTGTCTTAAAAGGTTTTAGCTGGAAATACTTGGCCTGCTTGTCTCTGGAACGTTTGGGTGGTACTGGAAGGGTCAAGCAGACATACTTCCCAGAGCAGAAAGACCCCCTTCTCAACCACCTCTCTGTAGATCATGACGTTGTGAGAGTGGGGTCCAAGGAGGACCCTTAACTGTGCTTGGGGGATTGATTGCTGCTTTCTCTTTACTTCTCTGCAGAAAAGTTTCCTGACTCAGCCTGTAACCCTTCTGGACATCTATACACACTGGCAACAGTAAGTCTAATGGGACTGAGAGAGTACAGCAGGGACACTGCAAGCCCTCAGCTTGGGATCAGTTAGGATACTAATCTGGTCTAAGATCTGTCCCCATAGCCCACCGTAGATACTATTATCACCTCCAGGAAGCCAGGTCACAGATACGGGTGTCTGGTAATGGAGAGGACACTGAGCTGTGATCAGTGCCTCTTAAGGACAAAAGCTTCTCAGCAGCTTTTATTATTCATTCAATCAGTAAACATTTATTGAGTAACCACTGAATGCCTGGCTCTGTTCTAAGTACAAAGGTATTGTCATGAGTGAGACATACGTGGTTCCTTCTTTCCTGGAGCTGACATTGGAGTCCAGGAAGGTAAGCACACCTCAGAAAAAACAAATGAGTGTAAAATTATAGTGGTAGTAAGGGTTATGCAAAGAGGTGCCCAGTGCCAAAACTACCTAAACAGGTTAGCCTAGCCTCATTTGGGGGTTTAGGGGAGGCTTCCCTGAAGTGCCCTTTGATTTGAGAGCTGCAGGGAGTGGGGGAGTGAACGAGGCAATAGGTGTGGAGGGGCCAGTAGAGCGTACCTGGCAGAGGGAACTACTGGTCTGAGGCCTGTAGCTGCGGGCACAGTGCAGACGAGGCTGGACCGTAGGCAGGGCCCACTCCACGCAAGCCCTGATCATCCATGGGGAGCAGTTGTGTCTTTGCCCCAAGAGCCGTGGGAGCCATGGAAGGGTGAAGCAGAGAGTGGTGAGATCACTGCAGCATGGCACGACCAGGTGAGGCTGTGGGTATCATTATCCAGGCAAGAGCTGATGGAGCTTGAGGCAGTAATAACATGGGAGGGAGACAGTAGATTCCAGGAATGTGAGAGGATGAGATGAGGGTCTGCGGATGGTTTGGAGAGGCAGTCTAGTCCACTCCCAGGTGTCTGACTTGTACACCTGAATGGAAGGAACCCAATTTGGAGGGAAAGATTTCAAAGACATGTTGAATGTGAAATGCCTGTAAAACCTGGGAAACAAGGAGGGGAATAATCTAAGGATATATCAGCAGAGGAATGGTTTGAAAATGAAGGAGGGATAATCGTTCTCTCCATGAACTGGCCTGACCACAGCCAACTACGGGAGTGAAGGACCTGCAGTCACGTCCCATGAGGAATGATAGTGAATACTGAACCGTCTGGGATGGGAAAGAGATGTCAGAGGGGCAGGCAAGGGACCTCTGTATGCACATCTTTGAAGACAAAGGGAGTGGGGTGTTCCCTGGGGCCTGAGAGACTGAAGTGGGACCCATATGTACCTGCTTTAGGAAGACAGGTTTCAGCTTCTGAATAAAAGCAGTGGGTCATCAGAGCTCTCCAGAAATGAGGTAGACTACAGTGGAGTTGTGAGTTCCTTGTCATCAGAGGTGTGTAAACAAAGGCAGGCATGGTGTGGAAGGGATCCAAGCTTCCAGTAGAGAGCTAAGGTCTTTGAGAGCCCTATCAACCCTCAGTTCTTGGCTCTCCTCTGCTGCTGAGGTGAGCACAGGGCACACCCCCACTTCCTTTCCCACTTGCCCAGGTGTCTGTGTGTTTGCACAGCACTTCCTTCCCCAGAGAACTCCTTCAGTGAGCCGCAGCGCACGCCCTTCCCCACCATCAGCCCCTTCCGTGGGTGAGGAGTACTGACTGGGGTGAGGACCTCACAGCCTAACCTAGTGGTTCAAACCCAGCAACTAGCCATATGATCTTGGACAAACTTGGCCTCCGCAAGTCTGTCTCCATCCGTGAAATGAAGATAATAATGGTAAAGTGCCAAACCTAGCCATTGGAGGCATCCCCCTCCCACCCCCACTCACCTCCGTATTTATCGAGCACTTACTGTGAGCCAGAACTGTTCTTGATATAGCTGGGAACAAACCGGAGAAAAATCCCTGCCCTTGTGAAACTTACATTCTGTTGGGAGGAGAGAGGCAGAGTGAACTGATACATGTAGTAAATGAAACCTGTTTTTGCAGAAGATTCCCTAGGAACAAGGGACCCAAGCAGCACGTCCCAAACTGGCAGAGCAGCATCCGTCCCATCTGGAGAACATGGGGCACAGACAGTGACTCCCTCGGGGCAGGAGGCTGGGGTCAGGGGAGATGATGCTCGAAAGTTCCAGCAACTCAGCCATCTGGGTGCTTATCCTCCCCAGTGCCTGAGACTTACTCTTTGACTCTAGGCAACTCACTTGGCCGTGAGACTCATGCTATGTGCTCAAGGTACTGAGGGAGCTGGAAAAGGTTCCTGCCAGCCCTCCTCTCCAGGGGCCTGGCTGTGCAGTGGGGGCTTCAAGCAGGAAGTAGGTAAAATAACAGCAGAGAGGAACGTGCTCTGAAGAAAATGAAACAGGATGGCAGGGCAGAGAATGTCTTACGGGAGGGGAGGTGGTCAGGGAGGGCCTCTCTGAGGAGGCTGTATTCGAGTTGAGGCCTGAAGGACAATAGGGACCGACCTGGGCAGACTCTTCCAGGAAGAGGGCACTGCAGGTGCCACAAGTTCTGGAGGAAGGAGGAGCCTGGATGGTGCTGTGAAGTGTCTATAGTGCCAGCACTTAGCGCTCAGTGACTCTTAGCAGCTGTTATATAATATTGTCCACCCTTCCTGAATATTTGAAGACTCATAGACAATTGAAAAATACGATGAAACGAGTGAAAATGCAGAACACAAAATTGTATCTAACACTGTGTTTCATCACTGTTTAAACTCTCTTTATGCACGTTTCCTTTGGGGGCAGGGAGGATGTGGGGAGGTCTTCCTTTTCAACTCTCCTGGGGTTGTCCTTGTCACCCGGTTGAACTAGCCAGTCACCCTTGTCCTGCAGAACCTCAGAGATTGGCCAGAAGCGGAAGGCAGAGGAAGATGCAGCCCTGCAGGCCAAGAAGACCCGTGTGTCAGACCCCATTAGCAGCTCAGAGAGCTCAGAAGAGGAGGAGGAGGCGGCGCAGGAGGCAGAAGCAGGAACCACCAAAGCCAGTAAGAGCGCTGTGTGCCGGAGGCTCAGCTCAGCGCCCTGCACCTTTCGGGAACAGGCTGTTGTATATTGGATTGTTCCAGGGGAGGGTCCACCTCCAGCTTCTCCTTCAGTGAGCCCTCAGAGGACCGGCCCTTTTAGAGGGAAGGTTGGAAGGGTCCCACATACCTATTTCAGTCTTGATTTGAGCCCTTCCTCTGGGCCAGACATCATGTCCCAGATGCTAGGAATCCAATGGTGAACAAAAACATGGATGGGCCCTTACAGTCTAATTTGGGGTATGTGGAGTCAGCCCCTCCAGTGGGGCCCAGGAGCGGCATTTTTACAGGCCCTCCAGGTGATTCTGGTAAAGATAGAAAGAAGCCCACATTTTCAGAAGAAATGCTAGAGAGATTTCAGAGAGGGCAGCTGGCGGGCACCTCTTCTGTGGGCTTATGGGCTGCTTCAGGAGTTGCCGATCTTCCTGTTATTTTGGAAGTGTGCAGGTTAGCACTGGCAGGCCGTCCCGGGCACTCTGGTTTCAGGGTGTTGGCAGGGGTGACCCGGGGAGGCCTTCACAGCCCCTTCTCCCCATGTTCTCAGGGCAGTTTGTGCTTTAACCAACAGTGGTCATAGCTCCACAGAGGAATTATCGTTCTTCTTTGCATTATTGGTTTTTACTTACATAGAAGATAATTTCTTAATTTTTAAATATGTTTTCTGATTGTAAAAGAAATACAGGCTTTGTTATGGAGTATTCATTATAGAATATGTGAAAATTACTTTTCAGAAAGGTAGGGAAAAATTACCCATATTCTTGCCACATATAATTTGGCAAATTATTCTTCCATTTATTTTTCCTGAGCATGTTTTTTCAAATACTTGAGATCATACTGAATATGCATTTTATACCTTGCCTAATCTTTTAAAATTATAATGCAAAGCAAGTTCACTGTGAACTGTACAAAAGCATACAGAAGAAAAGTGGGAGGTTTCCTGTTTCCCTCCACTGCTCCCCTTCCACTCCCTAAATGTATCTCCTGGAGGGTAGCCTTACAGTGCTCTCCTTTGTATCTGAAATCATACAGATAGACATCCATACTTGCCTACGTCCATACCTAAACACTATTTAAAACAAAAATTGTAAAATTTCCTACTGATGGGCTACTCGATATTAATAAATTTTTTAAGCTCTAATAATGGAATTATAATTATACTTTTTAAGAGTCCTCATTGAGAGAAACATGCTGAAATATCTGTGGGCAACATGGTATGATGTCTGATGTTTTCTTCAGAATAATACTCAGCAGGGAAGGGCGAATGGGGGGACAGTTGAAATAAGATTGGCCACAAGTTGATAACGATTGGGGCAGGGTGGTTTTATACACGTTCTCTCTATGTAGGAACGGGCTTAACATTTTCCGTAATTAAAAATAGAGAGAGATGGAATTAAATGTCAGGAAAAGAATTAGATCATCATTCATCTCCACAGAGGAATTATCGTTCTTCTTTGCATTATTGGTTTTTACTTACATAGAAGATAATTTCTTAATTTTTAAATATGTTTTCTGATTGTAAAAGAAATACAGGCTTTGTTATGGAGTATTCATTATAGAATATGTGAAAATTACTTTTCAGAAAGGTAGGGAAAAATTACCCATATTCTTGCCACATATAATTTGGCAAATTATTCTTCCATTTATTTTTCCTGAGCATGTTTTTTCAAATACTTGAGATCATACTGAATATGCATTTTATACCTTGCCTAATCTTTTAAAATTATAATGCAAAGCAAGTTCACTGTGAACTGTACAAAAGCATACAGAAGAAAAGTGGGAGGTTTCCTGTTTCCCTCCACTGCTCCCCTTCCACTCCCTAAATGTATCTCCTGGAGGGTAGCCTTACAGTGCTCTCCTTTGTATCTGAAATCATACAGATAGACATCCATACTTGCCTACGTCCATACCTAAACACTATTTAAAACAAAAATTGTAAAATTTCCTACTGATGGGCTACTCGATATTAATAAATTTTTTAAGCTCTAATAATGGAATTATAATTATACTTTTTAAGAGTCCTCATTGAGAGAAACATGCTGAAATATCTGTGGGCAACATGGTATGATGTCTGATGTTTTCTTCAGAATAATACTCAGCAGGGAAGGGCGAATGGGGGGACAGTTGAAATAAGATTGGCCACAAGTTGATAACGATTGGGGCAGGGTGGTTTTATACACGTTCTCTCTATGTAGGAACGGGCTTAACATTTTCCGTAATTAAAAATAGAGAGAGATGGAATTAAATGTCAGGAAAAGAATTAGATCATATCATTCATCTCAACAACATCCTGTTTATTTCACAGCATACATTAGAAATCTCTCCCTAATCTGAGCTCTAAGGAGACGATACCCCTGTGTAAAAGCAACAAGAATCTGGAAATCTCGACATCTAACAGGGTCCCGGTCTCATGGTTCAGCTGCTTCTCCACTGAGAAACCGCTTAATTCGAGCAGCTTTCTCTGTGGACCTGGGGCTGCCTGACCTGCTCCTGTCTCGCTGAATGACGTTAGGGCTGCAGTGTGGCAGGTAGCCTGTGGGAACGGCACCCCTGGAGTTGTGCGGGACCTCCGGGGTAGTATGCAGCAGGACTAGGAGCCAATCCCTTTTCCTCTGGGGGCTTCAGCGTCTCGTGCCACCAGGGAATTGGGACCCCATCAGGGATGCAGACACATGGCTTTCATGTCGTCACTCTCCTCTCGCTCCTGGGGGATGTGGCTGATGCACCACCGAGCTCTTTCCCAGTCCAGGCTCAGCCTCAGATCTCATGCCAGCCCCAGGCAGCCATACCAGTTGAATTATTAGGTGAGCTGAGCCTGTTTGCCACTCACCCATGAGAAAATGCTCATCTGGCTCACCCAACCAGTGTTTGTGTCTTGCAGTCCCGGCACTAGCATCTACCAACTCCTCAGCCACGGGGATGGTTTTGCCTTCAAGTGTGAAAGAAAAAGCCAAGGTGAGTGAGACCACCTTCCAAGCTGTTGCCCGTGGGAGTTGAAGTGCCCTGTAGGACACAGTCCCCTGTGTCAGAGAAGGATAGGGTTGTGGGTAATTGCCCAACCCTTGGATTGGATTCAGATCTTGGATTCAGATCTCAGCCTCAGTCGCAGTGTGATTGTGGTCTGTCCCTTCACCTCTGTGGGCCTCAGTTTTTTTTTTTTTCTGTAAGATGGGGATAATACCTACCGCCATGGGCCACTGGGCACATTACACACCTGGAAGAGACAGTTCCTTTTCTCCTCCAGCCCTGCATTCACCTGTTCCGGCAAATCGTTACCAATACAGTTATGTTCCAGGCACTGCACAAGGCAGTGGAGACACCAGAGCAGATAAGACACTTGGGGCTCCGAAAACTTGAGAAGCATTTTATTTTGGGGGTTTTTTTGGGTTTTTTTGGCCGTGCCAGAGGGCTTGTGGGCTCTTAGTCCCACAACCAGGGATGGAACCCGTGCCCCCCTGCAGTGGAAGTGTGGAGTCCTAACTACAGGACCACCAGGGAGCTCCCTCAAGAATCACTTTCTAGGCTGGAAACTACTTGGAAAGTAGAATATCCTTTTTTGGTCATCCACAAAGCAGTGTCACAGGCATGTAAAGGAATTATGTCCCTGATAATTGCCTGTAGCATTAGCAAAAACTATGTAGAAAGAATTATGAGGCCATGGTAATGTCCACAACAAAATGCTCCTTACCACTGAACAAAACTGCTGTGTCCCAAGAACTGTAATTTGGTTCTCTCCACACCTCTGTGAGGGGAGGTACCATTTTTAGCCCCACTTTGCAGATGAAGAAACTGAGGCGTAGGGAGGCAGTGTGCCCAGGCTCACAGGGCTAGGAAGTGGTGGAGCTGGGATCAGATGTGGTCTGTGCTCTCATTTGCCAGGCCATACCCACTGTCTGTCACTCCTGTTCTGTGTAGGCAAAGACCAAGAAAACCAGCAAGACGGTGAACTCCACGGCACACCCTGCCTCCGGGAAGGCAGTGGCCCACCTCCTCACCAGGAGGTCACCCCAGAAGGCGGCAGGGCCCTCGGCAAATACCATCCTGGTCTCAGAAACTGAGGAGGAGGGCGGTGTCTCGGCCCTCAGAACCGCCGCCAAGCCTGGTGAGCAGCCCTGCCCTCTAGGACCAGGCCCCCTGAGTGCGGGCTGAGGAAGCAGACCTGGGCGCTGCTTTGTCAGGCCCTGGGACCCTCTGGAATTCAGGGGGTTGTCTCTATGACAGCGAGGACCGCCACCTCAGGCCATTTTCCCCTCCCCTGGGTGAGGAAGAGTCAGCTGCAGGGACACCTCAGGCCTTGCGAGGGAGTGTGAGCAGCCGGGGTGGGCTTGGAGCCCTTTCTGGTTTTTTGCTCTCAGGTGGGTGCAGGGCCTGCCGCAGAGGCTCAGAGGCTAAGCTGAGAGGCCTGGGCTTGCCTCCATCTCCCATGTAAAATAGGCATCTGCCCTGCCTGCTGCTGTGTGCTGGTGGAAGGAGATCATCTGAGCCATCAGCTTCTGGCACTCGTGTGCTGGGACCTAACATCACAGGCCTTACCGGGGCCTCAGAGCCGCACAGGAGCTGCGGCGGGAGCGCTCGCACCTGGCCCTGAGTAGTTGGCGTGGAGGGTGCCGGCGAAGGGCAGGCGGGTCTGGAAAGGCCCTCAGTCCCTCCTTGTTTATTCCTCAGGAATGGCGGTCGCCAGCCAGGCCGCCAGCTCCAGCGAAGACACCTCCGGCTCGAGCGATGAGACGGACGTGGAGGTAATTGCCGCCCATCCTCAGGAGCTGCCCTCTGCAAACCTCTAACCCTCCTGGGGGCCTGGCTGGGGCCTCACCTACCAGGGGCACCGGATCAGTTCAGCAAGGGTGTCAGGGTGACCGGGAGCTGGGAAGGCTGAGGCCCGTGGAGGCGGGGAGCCAGGCGCTGCTCACTGCACTCTAGGCAGGTGAAGGTGTGGGGCTGGGGGGAAGAGACGCCATCCTGCCTGTGAGGTGGGTGGAAGCCTTCCTGGGAGAGGTGGCACTGGACTGCGGCCTTGATGCACAGGAGGCTTCACTGGGGAGGGAGGTGGGGGGAGGGGTATTCGAGTGGGAAGAACTGCACAACAAAGGCCCCAGGGCAGGAGCGTGGCTGTCGGGGCATTGGGGTGTGGGTGAGGCTGCTGCGGAGGCTCTGGGCCTGCTGGTGAATGCCAGACCTCAGCACCGGCCAGGGGTAGGCAGGTCTTTTAGTCTGTGGCCGTGGCGGGTCTTTTAGTCTGTGGCCATGTCTATTCTGTGAACCGTGACCTGGGAGGAGTCCCCGCAGGTTATTCCTTATTGTGCACCTTTCAAGTGCCAGGCCTTGGGGAAACAGTGGTAAGCAGGACGGGTGGGGTTCCTGCTGCCGTGGGGAAGTGGAGGGGTCCTTCAGAAATTTAACTGTCGTGGTGATGGTTACTATGAAAGGGAAATGTGGAGAGCTCTGAGGCGCAGTAACAGGAATGTGACGCAGACAGAGGGACAGCAGGGCAGAGGCAGACACAAAATGAGTTTGGTGCTTTTAAGCAACGGTGATCTGCAATTTCATGAATGAGGCAGAAAGTGATACAAGGTGAGGTCAGAAGTAGGCGGGGGCCAGATCCATGCCTGACCAAGAGGACTGCTGAGAGGAATTTGGGTTTTATTCTGGAGGCTGTGGGAAGCCACTGCAGGGCTACAGGCCCAGCGGCAAGATGGCCTGACTTACGGTTCGGAAAGATGGCTGCTTGTGGCCTGGATCGGAGGACAGTGCTGAATAGATGTAATGATGTGGTTGAGGGCTTTTGGAGTAGTGCTGGCAGGAGATGCTGGTGCCTGGCGCCAGGACACCCGGGGAAAGGTGTTGCAGAGGGAGAAAAGTAGCATTCAGGGATGGATTGGCCTGGCACCCACGGTGCTTCCTACCTTGCCTTCCTGCCTTAGCCAGTCACCCACGAAGGTAGAGACCTTGCTCCCAGCTACCCCGGGCCTAGCTGTGGGCTGCTCCCCACATTCTGTCCCACCGTTGGGCCCTCGTTACAGCCAGCCGTAAGGACGCCCTGGGCTCCCATCCCCCAGGCCCTGCCGAGGGAACGAGCGACACTCCTGGCCCTGGGAAGCCAGCAGCCAAACACATAGCTTCAGTGGGCCAGACAGAGCCCAGAGAGGGAAGGAATGTGCTCCAGGAATCTCAGCAAGCCAGTGCCAAGACTGGGGTTCAGATCCTAGCCTCCTGGCCCTTGAGGTGGCCCCCATGACCAGATACTGTAGCTGGAGGGACAATCATGAGCTGTCCTGGTTGAGAGTGGCTGCCCCTTTGCTGGGCCCTGTGTGCCAGGTGGGAGAGGAGCATCATGGTTGAGAGCTCTGCCCCCAGAGCCATGTAGACATGGGTTCAAGTCACAGCTCTGCCCCTTAGTATTGGTGTTGAGTGGTTTAACCTCTCTGAGCCTTTTGCCCTTTACTGGAAAATAGGTGTAAAGATAGTATCTGTCTTAGGGAGTTGTTTGAGAACCAGATGACATTAGGAAAGAGCTTTACAAACTATGAAGCATCTTATACTCCTCAGGGGTGGAGAGGATTATTCTCTGATTCCATCCTCTTGTTCCAGGTGAAACCTGCAGTAAAACCACCACAGGTCAAAGCCTCAGCAGCTGCGGCCAAGGCGTCTCCAAGGAGAAGGGCAGCCCCGACCCCAGGGAAGGCAGGATGTGTGACACCTCAAGTCAGAGGGGGTGCCGTGACCCCAGCCAGCAGGGCCAAGAAGCCAGAAGAGGTCTCAGAGAGCAGCGAGGAGTCCGAGAGTGAGGAGGGGGCCCCTGCGGGGACACCCAGCCAGGTGAGGCCCAAGGGAGACCTGCTCCTCAGGGTTCCCTGGTTCCCTGGCCCCAAGACTGGTGGAGTAACTGTGTAATGAGCACCTTCCCTGCCAGAGGAGACTCGTCTTGGAGTTTGGGGAGAGGGAGGCGGGGCTATGGGAGTTGAAGGGCAAGGGCAGCTGGTTTTGCTCCACCTGCTTCTGGAAATGACCTTTCCTGTCCAAGCAGTGGCCTGGAATGGCTGCTTCCCAAAGGGCAGGTGCTGCATCCCACCCAGTCAATAACCACTCCCTTCACCTCAGTTTCCCTGTCTAGTAAATGGGCTGCTGTCCTTGTCCCAGCTAGTCCTGCTGTGAAGGGACTTGAGAAGTTTTAATTACCTGGTCTTCTGGCTTCTCAGGCCAAATCATAGCTTGTTAGCAAACAGGAATCCGCTTCCATTCCATCTGCTGGGACCCCCTTCTCCTCGCTTGGGTAGCCAGAGCTGCAGCTGGGCATGTCCTAAGGGAAAGCCAGAGTGGCTGGGAAGCTGTTGGAATCAGAGAGCAGGGAGGAATAGGGGTGAGACAGGTGGCAAAAGGCCCCTGGGAGCCCTGAGCCTGCCCACCCTGGGGCAGGGCCATCATGGAGAACTGCTGTAAGGAACTGGCATCTGTCTGGGACCCAGGGGATGAGGCAGTAGTGGTCAGGTGAAATGGGCAGGGGTTGTGAAGGCCCCGGGAATGAGGAGATATGGCTATACTGGCTGGCCGGCCATACCGGCTGGAGCACCAGTCAAGGTGAGGAGTCCAGAGAGAAGCAGGGGGTCTTGCGAGCCTCACTAAGGCTTCGAGCCTTATTCTTAAGGTGTCACGAGGGGGTTTTCAGAAGGAGGGGAGCAAACTGCACTTTCTCTTTTGCTAGGTGAAGGCCTCCCAGAAAACTGTCCAGGTCAGAGCTGCCTCGGGTCCTGCCAAGGGGACCCCTGGGAAAGGGGCCACCCCAGTACCCCCTGGGAAGGCAGGGAGGCCAGAGGAGGACTCTGAGAGCAGCAGCGAGGAATCAGACAGCGAGGAGGAGATGCCAGCTGCCCAGACCCTGCTGCAGGTGAGGCCTGGGGAGAGAGAGTTCCACAGCCAGCACCCCATCCCAGGAGGCCTTCAGAGGGCTTGCTCTCCCGCTCCGCATGCACCCCAGCCATGCTCAGAGCCCTGTGCCTTCTCACCATGTGGTGTGGTGTCTGCGGTCTCCTTAACCCTGTCCACTCTCTGTGTTTCCTCACGCCCACCGTCTGGGCTCCCTCCCCTGATACTGTTTATCTCGCACCAGGCAAAGCCCTCAGGGAAGCTCCCCCAGGTCAGAGCCACCGCAGCAGCACCTGCCCAGGTGCTTTCCCCTGGGAAAGGGGCCCCTCCAGCACCCCGTGGCAAGGCAGAGCCTGCAGCCATCCAGGCGCAGACCAGGGGGCAGGAGGAGGACTCAGAGAGCAGCAGCGAGGAGTCAGACAGCGAGGGGGAGGCGTCCACAGCCGTGCCCCACACCACGAGCCTGGCTCAGGTGAGGCTGGAAGGATGCCCGGCCCGGCCCTGTGCGTCGCCTGCAGAGACCCTGTGGGCCTCTCCTCCTCTGCACCCGGAACTGCTGCCCTCCGTCCGCCCTGCTCACCTCCTGTCTTACCCCACACACATTCCCCCCAAGCCCCCTATCCTGACCCTGTCCTTTGTCACTCCCAGGCAAAGCCCTTGGGGAAAAACTCCCAGGTCAGAGCTGCCTCAGCCACAAGCACGGGGCCCTCAGCGAAGAGCGCTGTCCCAGCGCTTCCTCAGAAGGCAAGGGCTGTAGCCACCCAGGTGGCAAAGTGGGAGGAGGACTCGGAGAGCTGCAGCGAGGAGGAGTCAGACAGCGAGGGGGAGGCGCTGAGAACAGCGGCCTTGGCCCAGGTGAGGCCCCTGCTGTCAGGCTCTTCTCTCCAGCTCAGTGCCGGAAGCCCCATCCCCCTCTGCTCACCGTGCCTGTTGACCCTCTCCATCTCTTTGTCTCTGCGTCTCTGCACAAAGGCACACTTTGGGTGCTCTCCCCTGAGCCTGTGTGTCTCGCTGCAGGCAAAGTCCTCGGGGAAAGTCCTGCAGGTCAAACCTGCCTCAGGTCCCACCCAGGGCCCCCCTCAGAAGGCCGGGCCTGCAGCCACCCAGACCAAAAGGTCCAAGGAAGACTCGGAGAGCAGTGAGGAGGAGTCAGACAGTGAGGACGAGGCCCCCACAGCCAAGACTCCAGCCCAGGTAGCTGCCCCCGCCGGGGGAGCAGCTCCACAGGGAGCTGTGGGGGAGGATGGCAGTGGGGCTCCAGCCCTGAGCGGATGGGGGCTCTGAGTCCAAGATCCTTCTGTAGCTTCTGACTTCTGTGTCCCTTCAGGCAAAATCAGCTGTGAAAACTTCTCAGACCAAGGTCTCCCCGAGGAAGGGCACCCCCGTTGCACCTGCATCTGCCAAGGTCCCACCAGTGCAAGTAAGCGCACCAGCGCCCCGGAAAGCAGGAACGGTGACTTCGCCAGCCTGCACATCGTCCCCAGCCGTGGTCAGGGGCACCCAGAGGCCAGAGGAGGACTCTTCAAGCAGTGAGGAGCCGGAGAGCGAGGAGGAGACAGCCCCTGCCGCATCTGTGGGACAGGTGAGGCGAAGTTTGTTTGGCTGGGTCAGGGCCAGACCCCACGTGGTCCTTTGGCTCCTGTGACATGCCTCTTTTCCATGTCATTCCAGGTGAAGTCTGTAGGGGAACGCCTCC